CAAGTCTGCTGGATTTCTTCACTATCCACTGTAGCCTTTTTGTTGGTTTCAAAAGAAGGCCTGTTCCCTCTGGTAAAATCTTACCTGCACACAGATCAACCTGTCAAGATAAAGAAATCCTGATTGCTAAAAAAATCTCACACAACTAAAACATCCTGGCCATACCTCCCCCCGCCCTCCGAGCAAATCGCAGAAGGCGGGGTTTAGATGAATGCTTGGATGCTTGGGTGTAGATCCCAGAAATCGGAAGTGTGTGAAAAACATCTGACATTACAAGCCAGTTCTGTGTTGCAACAACCCCGGCTATAGAGATGGCTTATTCACCACTTAATACTCGTGATGCAACCTCAAAGTATGGTCTCCTTGTCGGAGAATACTTCATCCCCATGTTCAAATATTGCTTGACCTAGTTTGGGGATAGTTTTGCTACCGATATCTTCACCCTCCAATTTCGCAAAGGCCACCCAAGATTCTAAGAGACTTATTTTCCTAGAAACGGATGATGGGACATTTTATGGTTGAAGACCTTCTTTTTGAATATTCCAGGGTAAAAAACCATGGTTTTGCCGTAGATTTTCCCACTTTTCCTGCTTTGAACCAGACAATGTCAAGCCGCGTCGTCCAATTTCCTTCTCGTTCGCTGCAAACTGATCAGCTCAAGGTTGATCATCTCTGGTGAAGGTGACGTCATGGCTCCGATTCTTGAAACGAGCTAGGCAAAGTTGCCCATTTGCCCAGACATGGGGTATTTCCCGAAATTGCAAGTTTGATCGGGACAATGATGGCAATCTCCTGGATTTCAGGGTAACGTATCTCTGCATAAACTCATTTTACCAGCAAATTGTCATGTCTCTTACCAAGCAAAACAAAGGGTTGATAAAATTCCCATCTGTGATGATGATGGTGGTGGTGATGATGAAAATAATGACAATGATAGTGATGATGATAATGATGATGATGTTGGTGATGATGATCGTGACGACGACGACGACGAGGAGGAGGAGGAGGATGATGGTGTTGATGATGATGTTGGTGTTGTTGTTGTTGTTGATGATGATGATGATAGTGATGAGAGAAAGATGATGAGGTAGATGTTGAGGAGGAGGAGGAAGATGGTGAAGTTGAGGAGGATGACGTTGACGAGGAAGACCGATCCCAAGACCGGGAAGCACACTGTGTGCGAGCCTGCGAAGTCGACATGCAAACAGACATTTCACAAGAGGCATTTTGTGCCGAACCTTACGAGGAAAATGCCGCTCGCGTATATCCCGCGACATGGATTTCGTGCGAACATGTCACAAGAGGCATTTTGTGCAAAACAAATAAAGGAAAATGCCGCACACTAATGGGCAGTCGAAATGCACGTGGACATGTGACATGTCACAAGAAGCATTTTGTGCGAAAATTTACACGGAAAATGCCGATCGCCATCGGCAAACCAGCGACAAGTGTTTTGTGCGAGCCTGCCCAGTCGACATGCACATGGATGGCACAAAAGAGGCATTTTGCGCGGAAATTTACGGACGTTCCGATACCACCTGGATTGAACACCGGCCCTTAACTGTTACCGCAAGAACCCCTCAGTGTGGCCACCCTGTTTGGGCAAAAAATATGATGACTCTTGGGTGGGGTGAAAAATGAAGGGGGGTTGGCAAATGGCATCCTTCAATTTAAGCTTGGGGCCAACTAGAAAGTGCACAAACCCAGTGCCCTCATGTAGAAGGGACATGTGGATTTTATTTCTGAACCATGTGGGCAAATCGTATCCTTCAGTTCGAGGCCAACTAGAAAATGCCCCGACCCAGAACCCGCATGTAAGGACATGTGGATTCTATTTTAATGAAGGACGTTTTTGCTTTTCATACTCGCAGGTGCTTGTAGGGATTGCTTAGATAGTGCTAAAGCCTTCCGCTAAAAGTTGAGTAATGCATTACGTGTACTAAATTGATCTTTATGAACTCCTTTTTGCAGCTTGTCGGAACACTTTAAAAAGTACTGGCCAGTTTGAGATTTCATGAGATTGTCTGAGACTGTCGGATATCATAGTTATCATATCGGTGTATCTCTGGGTGCTGTTTGGAGCACCAAAATGACAATGACCTGCAGGATCATCATGCCCATGTGTTGTGATTGTTATCGCTAATGAAATTTTGACAGGAGGCACTGCTCAGAGAGCTCGGAATCCCTCCAACATGTCCAAACGCATCAAACAGAAACAATGTTTCTGTTTTGACGCGCTTGGCAGAACTTTGGGGTCCGCCAGTCATGTAAAAGGACATTTTCCTGCGTGAGCCTGATACCCACCTAGACGCGAAAAATCTTCATCACAGACTTGACAAGTCAAAACTGGATCAACATTGCCTGCCAATTGGACGCAACAAACAAAAGTTTCCAGCTTACAGCCATCTTACCTGTGCAATTTTCCTTTTGAAAGTAACTCAAAGAAGGATCTCTATATTTTGTTGTGGGATTCTACCATGCTGCACCACATTCAAGCGGCTGAGATGAACGCCCATCCATTCACTACAAAGATGCTCTGTCTTTATGTTCTTCTTGCCTATGAACCAACTGTGACTGGAGATTCATTCAGGGTGGCGAAGACCAACCCTAGATCAGTAGGGTTTTGGATCAGTAGGATTCTTCGCACCCCCAAAGTAAGAAAGAAGTCGTTTTCTGAAAAAAAACAAATTGTTGTGAAACATTTGAGAAAACTTGGGATAGGTAAACTCTTTTGAAGATACCACTTGCCACTTGACCAAGTGCCTCTTGCAAATTCCCTTTCAACATTTTCTGTGTGCCGCTTGTAGAAGACACTTGGGAGACTATCACTTTGTACTTGATCAGAGTATCGATGTTGTGCTGGCCAGTGACACTTGTGTGCGTGTAAGCCAAATCCCATTCAAAATTGACACAGATTTTCTCATTTTTTTTTGCGCTTGCTGAGGCGCACAAAAAGGGGGACTAGGTTGGTAGGGATTTTCACCAAAGGCTCTCCCAGAGTTCTGGTTGGACCCAAGTGTTTCTCAAAAGTACCCGGATTTTTTTCAGAAATACCCGAGTTTTCTTTGAAAAAAATCGGATTCCCCAAAAGGTCTAAGTGGCAAAGAAAAAGGCAAATACTAAATAGTAAAAAGAAGGATGCCAAAAACAAAACAAAAATATCCGGATTTTTCTCAAAATGTTCAATTTTTCTCAAAATATTCCATTTGCTCAAACTGTTCCATTGTTTTCGAAAAAGATTCCCCCAAAAAATCAACCCAGAAAATCTTGCAAAAAAAACAAGCATTCTCAAAAAATCTTGGACCAGCCCAAGAAATGCCCCCCCAAACAAATCTGTGTTCAAAATCATTGGGCTCCAGAGAATAGAGTTATTTATACCAGCTTGGGCTGCCAATGGCTGCAGCTTCCGTTCCTTCCCAATGGTTGCGTAACTGGTGCAGCTTTTGTCCCGCAAAGCTGTTTCTATTGGGTTTCGAAGCTGCTACGCAGCACATTGTAGCAACCCTTACAATGCTCCGCTGCAGCTTTGAATTTTGAAGGCCGCCAGCCAAGGGCCCATACACACTATGGCCCCCTCTGCAAGCACCAAAAGCCCAAGTACGCTTTTTAGATCCTGCAAACTGTTTCTATTGGACTTCGATATTGCTGCGTGGCACGTTTTCGGCACCCTTTAAAAGCATCTAAAGCTCAAAACCCTCCGCTGCAGCTTTCGAGCCCCTAGGCCCCGCAAACTGTTTCTATTGGGTTTCGAAACTGCTACATGGCACGTTTTAAGCGCCCTTTAAAAAGCTCAAAGCCCTCCGCTGCAGCCTTCAAAGGCTACAAACCAACACATGCCAGATAGAATGTCAAAAATAGATGCCAAAAAACTGACAGAAAGAATGCCAGATAGAATGCCAGAACATGTGTCAGATCGAATGCCAGATAGAAAGCCAGAACATGTGTCAGATAGATGCCAGATTGACTGCAATTGAACGTCAGAATACAAATCAAATATGATGCGGAAAAGAATGACAGGTACAATGTCAGAAACATACCAGATAAAATGCCAGAAAGAATGTCAGAAAATATGTCAGATAGAATGCCAAATGACGTGTGAGATAGAATGCCAGATGTAATGTCATGGCATATGTCAGCTAGACAGGCTGCTAGATAAAATGTCAGATGGAATGCCATGCCAAACTAGATGTCAGATAGAATGCGAGAGTGTCAGAATACATGTCAGAAAGAATGTCAGATAAAATGTCGGAAAATATGTCAGAATTACTTGAATAATATATTTTTTCAGTTTTTGATGATCGGCCTGGATTTTCGAGGGAGGGTTTCACGGAGGAACAAACAACAAATCGCAAATCACAGTTATTTTTTTGAGACGATCAACGTGCGTCTTGCGCAAAGGATGCATTTCGTAAGCGTCGATCCCCGCTGCCTTAATATGTGTCGGCATTTTCAAAAAACTACTACTATACTCTAAAAACCTGCATATTTTAGAGCTGCAAATCTTCACGTGTATCTCTACACGTTCAAACATAGACCTGCGCATATACACCCGCAAATATACAGCTATAGACAGCTATAGGTTGCCTGATGCAGTTGCATGCGCAAAGCTTATATATAAAAAGCTGTAAGTGCTCCGTACAACTACATCTATACACCTGCATCTATAATCCTGGGTCTATTGTAGATATTTGTGCATATAAGGTTGTTGATTTCGTTTATGTGCTGACGATGGTGGAAGATCATGATGGCGACGATGGCAAACGCATTGCTGTTGAATGAATCTGTAGATGTGTTAACAATGTGATGATGATGATGACTATAATGTATGTTTTAAGCGGGTTGGCAGCCGCTCTTTGGAAGGAACTCTTCGGAGGTGCATTCCAAAATAAAGTAGTCTGTCTGCTGTAGCAGGACTAGGCTAGCCTTGGTGATCTTGTCTGAAAAGTCTTAGTTCTCCCTTGTTCACAAGGTACCAACAAGCAGGAACGCTTCCTCTCCCCTTTTGCTTCACCTGCAAGCCGAACCAGGTGCTGCATACTATTCTTTCAGAATGCGCCTACGCACCATGGCCTCGCTTTGCGATGCCTACACATTGAAGTCCCAAACATCTGTTCGGTAGCCCATGTCGTGGAAAACAGCTAGCACATCATCAATGCGCTTCCTGACGATTAAATTCTGTACAACTCGCGTCACCCCGAAATCTTCACATGCCCTCTTCTCTTCGGTGTACAAAACTACCTTGTGGCGTATATCGCCTTGCTTTGGCGGAATAAGTCCGAACAGTTTTTTCACGTTAGGGTCCCGCAAAAAGCTTTTAGCCGCTTCTTGCTTGGCGTGGGGCTCAGTGTGATAAGACCCCACATACTCGTCTTGAGAAAGGCATGTCTTCAGGCTGGCCACAAAATTTCCGCTCACCACCGCCACATCTATAGTGAAAGGCAGGCTTCCTTGGCCAAGAGTGTAGCGATCAAAGAGATTCCCCAAATTCTCCATGGGATTTCTCCAGTCAGCAGGTTCCCATCCAGCTTTGCCTTCGTCGATCAATTTTTGCGCAATGACTCTGGGGTCAACTTCTCGCAGAATGCCAAGCTCCTCCACCTGTTCGACAGTAACGTCTTCCTGAAGGGAACGCGCATGGATGAAACACAAAACCCTGCCAAGTGCCAACACCTGCTTTTACTGACAATCATGACCCAGAGCTTCCAATAGTCCTTAATTAAGAATATGCCTTAATTAAGGTCTACAGGATTTTCTTAGTTAAGGACTATTGGAGGAACTTCTGTGGGCCTTAATTAAGGCATATGGCTTTGGTGCTGTTTTAGTGGTATAATCGCTAAGTTTGTGTCAAAATTGTCATATGTTTTTTTCTTTGCAGTCCTTTAGAAAGTTTTACTTTTTGTAAAAAAAGTAGGCAATACAAGAACTTCCTAGATTGCTTAATTAAGAAGATGGCTTAATTAAGCAATCCTATTTAAGCAATCTAGGAGGAGCAATTTTGGATTGCTTAATTAAGCAAGCTGGGTTTTAGTGTTATTTTTCAAGTGTAAAATTCAAAGCTAAAATATGACTTTTTGAATTTTGATTAGCTACCTCTTTTCAAGAATTTCTAGTTACTGTTCCAATATTGCCTCCTTTTCACTTTGAAGAAAAATCAGCTTGCAACCAAAGGTATTTTAAAAGAAAAAGGAAAATGGAATGTACAAAAACGATTGTGTGCAACGTACTCTTTTCCAAACACTGTCAATGCTCCTGAGACTTTTACTTGTTTTTTGTCAAAATGTTTTTGTGGAAGCATTCATGTTGTAAGCCATGCCCACTCCCAAAATATGATATATTAAAAAATCTTCTCAAGTACCTTAAACAAACATTTAGGCCTAGGCCTCCTTCAGAGGACATATTCCTTACTAGTGAATAGTGAATACTTATATACTAGTTTCTAGTTACTTGCTAATATATCGCTGTGATTACTGTTTAGTAGGTGATATTCAGTAGGGAGTAGTTGGCAATTAATAATTACAATGGCCCCTGTTTAGTAGGTGATATTCAGTAGGCAGTAGTTGGCAATTAATAATTACAATGGCCCAAGTGCAAAAGCAAAACCTATGGTATCTGCACTCCACAGAGGAGGGTTGTTGAAAACAAAGTAAATTGGAAACTGAAAGTATCTGGTCCAAGTATTCAAATTCGATCCCCACCATTAAGAACACATGGGTGCCAAAGTTGAAACTAAAACCAGTTTTTTCAAAATTGTGTCGGAGTATTCAACTTTGAGCCCCACCAACAATTATCAATTTGGGCCCCACCAAGAACTACAATTTTTAGTGGGACCCAAAGCTGAAGATAAACTAGTTTCCTTTCAAACCTTGACACAAAGTATTCCAGTTTGAACCCCAGCAAAAAAAAAAATCAGCGGGGCCCAATGTTGAAGATAAACTATGTCCTGTTCAAATTTGGTGAAATTATCCTAACTTCACCCCCATATTTGATTTTCCAGGGTTGAGTCCAAAGTCGAAGATAATATATGTTTCTTTCAAATCTTGTCGAAGTACTATGGCGCACCGGTTGAGTTATAAGTAGTTGTAATTTTAGTTATTCAAAAAGTTAGGTCTACTTATGAAGTGGCCCCAATATCAACGATTTTGTCACATTGTTTTAATTTAGAAAAATTGAAAAAACATGGTTTATATTGCATTAAAAAAAGTATGTTTTCATATTTTTTTCTAATTACAGCGGTTGAGCCGCTTCTATTTTTTTTTGCAAAATGAGCGGCTTTCACCGCTTCCATGGCTGAGGGAATGTGCAACTGGTTTTTAAACAGAACAGGCCACTGTGGGAGCGCGCCTTTTTAGGTGCTTTATGCACCTGCAATGGGTTAGTTTGCTCTTTGCAATCTCACCTTTGCAGTTTCTTTTCTGTTTACAAAGACCAAAAAAAAGAAACCAAAAAACAAAAAAAAAATAAACAAAAAAAAACAAGACCCAACAAACTGCATCTGACCCCCCTCCCCTTGGGGTGTGCAATCTTGTTTTTTTGTTGTTTTTTTGTTTTTTTGGTTTCTTGGTGTTTTGCTTTCTTGGTTCGTTGTTTCTTTTGAGGGACTGGCAAAAAAAGTGGGAGGGTCTAACTCTTTGCCACTTTTCCCTCCTTAGGCATTGCAAATTTGTTTGTGGTTGTTTCTGCTTGCTTTAGGTCTCTGGTTCCATTAGAAACCATGTAAAAACCAGGGAAAAACAGGTATCCTTGGGGGAATGTTAGGGGCTTGGGGCATGGATTAAGCAATTGTGGTTTTGACTTATTTTTGAAAACATGCCAGAAGACTATGAAAAAACAAAGGCAGCCAATGAGTACGTTTTTTGATATTGACATTGCTGACTACAAACCCCAGTTTCCCTAGTACATCCCACCCATATGGGAATGTCTCAAAATGAGGCAAGCCTTTTTTTAAATTAGCGTTTTGGGGGTCAAAAAGGGCGCGCCTCATTTTGAGACGTCCCCATATACCACTAAGACCTCAAAATGAAGAGATTTTCACTTCAGGCACTTAATGAAAATATTAGATCATAGAACTGATTTTTACTTAGTTTCACTTATTTTAACTTATTTTTTTATATATTTTTGAAGGTTCACTTGAAAACTAAATGCAGTGTAGCCTTCAATTGAACACTACTTCCTAGAGATGTTGTGAAATCATCTCTAATTTTGATGCTCAAGGACTCAATTTATCTAAACTTATAAATGTTACTTCTTTCTCCATATGGATATGTCTCAAAATGAGGTGTCCGTTTTTGGTTCCAAAATAGCTACTTTAAGAGGAAAAACGGACACCTCATTCTGAGACATTCCCATATGTTTACTTTTTTAAAATGTTTGAAACCTAGCTGGTCTACTTTCTGTTTGAATATATATATATATTTTTTAGACCTGCATATTTTTCTTTTCACAATGTTTTGCTATTTAATATGTTGCAATTTCTTATACTTTGTCCCTTTCACTTTTTATATTTTGAAATATTTTGTAAACATATCATATTTGCTACCTATTGTTTCATATTTAATCCTTTTTCCAAATTTTAAGAATGGTTAATTATTTTGATTTTTTTCGGTTTGGATTTTCTACGTAGTTGGCATTCTATAACTCATATATATTTGAATACATATAAAAAGTTCTATTTTTTCCTTTTCGGAAATTTCGGAATGTTCTGAATTTTCTGAAATTTCTGAATTTCCTGAATTTTCTGTATTTAAATATATATGTATATATTTCTGAATTTTCTGAATTTTCTGTATTTAGATATGTATATATATATATTTATCTATTTCTGAATTTTCTGAATTTCTGAATTTTCTGATTTTTTAGGAATTTTCTGAAATTTCTGAAATTTCTGAATTTTTAGGAATTTTGTGAATTTTCTGTAATGATTTGCAGTGGTTTTATAATGTTTATATTTTTTATTATTTTAGATTTTCATTTTTTCTGCAGAGTTTGAAGTGTTGGTCTGATATTTTCTATCACAAGAAATTGTAAAATTTTTGAAGAAACAAAAGAAGTTGACTCTCAACAAATTCAACATTACAGAAAATAAATATACATTATGGTCAAATAATCTTCTTTTAGACACTGTCATGCATAGCAAACATAAGATTCAAGAAGCTACCTTTGCTGAATTTTTACTGCAAGGGAAATATCACGCTGAGGACTTTTGTTTCTGAGGAAGTTTCAGTTACTGTTTTTTTTCTGTGAAAGATCTGGCCTTCATAGAAATTGTCCTTCTCAAAATTTTCCTGTCCAGGAACTATACATTACAGAAGGTTATCTTTTCAGTAAAAAGGGATAGTTCCTTTCCAGGAACCATACCTTAGAGGAAGCATTATATACAGAAACTGTCCTTACCAGGAAGTATTCCTCATAGGAAGCTTTCACTTATTTTCACTTATTTTCACTTATTCTCATTTATTTTTGAATAGCATTCGACTATATTTGATTATATGTTCATTATTCTGTTATAAGTTCACCTAAACGATTAGTAGAACTTAAAACATCATATCTTTTAAAATACAATTTAAACAGGATATTAGCAACTCATCAGGTACTTAAAAATTCATTACGTGCCTGAAGTGATAATATCTTCATTTTGAGGTCTTAGCACAAAGGTCTTTACAGGCTTGGGTGAGGGACTGAGGGATTGGATTAGATTAGATTGGATTAGATTAGATAGATTGGATTGGCTTGGATTGGCTTGGCTTGGATCGGATTGGATTGGGTTGGATTGGATTAGATTAGATAGATTGGATTGGCTTGGATTGGATTGGGTTGGGTTGGATTGGACTAGATTAGATAGATTGGATTGGCTTGGATTGGATTGGGTTGGATTGGACTGGATTGGATTAGGTTAGATTAGATAGATTTGACAGGATTGGATTGGATTAGATTAGATTGGATAGATTGGATTTGAGTGGGTTGGAGTAGATTGGGTTGGGTTGGGTTGGATTGGAATAGATTAGATTAGGTTAGATTGGATTGGATTTGGTTTTGCTGGATTGGAATTAGATTGGATTGGAATTAGATTAGATTACATTAGATTGGATTAGATTAGCTTAGCTTAGATTAGATTAGGTTGGATTGGATTGGATTGGATGGGATTGTTGGATTGGATTGGATTGGATTGGATTGGGTTGGATTCGATTGGATCAGATCAGATCAGATCAGATTAGATTAGATTGGATTAGGTAGTGCCAGTATACCATCAGTTTGCCACCAGTATACCACCAGTATACCACCAGTATACCACCAGTTTGCCACCAGTATACCACCAGTATACCACCAGTATACCACCAGTTTGCCACCAGTATACCACCAGTATACCACCAGTATACCATCAGTATACCACCAGTATACCACCAGTATACCATGGTAGACGGTCAGTGGAATTTCCCAGTTTCCCCCTTAGTTCATAGACATTGCCAAGCCGCATTGTGGAATCTCCGTCTCTTTCTCTGCGAGCTGACCATATCCGGGCTGACCATCTCTGGTGAAGGTGACGCCATGGCTCCGGTTCTTGAAGCAAGCTAGGCAAGTTGCCTACTTCCAGAAATCATTCCATGTATGAAACCAACTTACATGGAAAATGATTCGCCGCAAAAACCTGGTGCCCATTGTTCTGAGCACTTTCCAAAGTGCTCGGAATTCCAATCACTGGGAAATGCGCCGTTTTAGGAATAGGATTTCCACCAGTGTTTGTGGCACTTTACGGGCTTTCACAACATTTTTACGGTTGTTGTTTTTGACACTTTTTGCCAACCATGCGCCTCAAAAGATGATATGCCTTTCTTTGTGAAAGAAATGCACAGGGATACGATAGTGGCTTTTAAGGCACTTGAAAAATGATTTGCTGCGTATTTTTTTCCCCTGGCTGCTGTTCCATTTGCGTCTTTGGACTCGATCTGGAGCATTGTGCCAGAAACAATTTTACATCAGCAATTTCGACCGCCCCGCAAAATAATTCCAAACCCTGGGTTTGCCCAGGAATGGGATATACCCCGTAAAATTGCATGTCTAAAAGGGCAATGATGATAAACCACTGGATTTCTGAGTAATTTATTTGTGGACAAACTCGTGTTTGAACAAAAAAAATGCCCGGTCTTTTGAAAATGTCTGGGCCCTGATCCCCAAACAAAACGAACGGTTGATGAAACTTCCATCTATGTTGTCCTTCTTTAGATCTACGTGCTTAAAACGCATGGTTTATTGCAACATAACCCAAGCAGTTGTGGCGATGTAAAACCCCATGTTTTCACAATCACTGGACCCCTCAAAATCCAGCCTACCTTCGTTGCCAAGTAGGTGGGAAAACCCGTGCCTCAGGCATCAAAGGATCTCCTCTGGGTGCCCAAACAAGGCTCGCACAATTTCAATGAACAACGTGTTGTGCATGGGAACCAGCCGTGATCACTATCTTTGAGAAAAAACAAAAATAAATTGGATTAGTCTGGGTTATTTGGGGACCGCGGTTTCTTTAGCTGGTTGTTCGAAACCATCCCCAAAATATGAAGTCGATTGGGATAATCATCCCAAATAGGACCGAAAATTATTGAACAATATGCTTGAACAACGTCACCAAACTGCCACTGTACCAGTAGTACCGCGGTGGCGGAAGTTTCAAAAATAGGAAAGCTATATGAGAGGTTGGTTGTTGTGAATCACAGATGGCAGAGCGAATCCACTGATGGACTGAAAGGTGGTTGGAGTTGTGCTTTTTGCAGTGGTTACAGTGGTTGCAGTGGTCGCCTGGTCGGTCACCTCACCCACAACTGCTGGATGTAGTGTGGTGTAGTCAAGCTGTAGTTGTAGTCATAATGTAATGGAGTGTAATGTAGTTTAGTGTAGCGTAGTGTAATGTAATTAGTGTAGTGTAATGTAATGTAGTTGTAGTTGTAGTTGTAGTTTGTGTCATGTAGCGTAATGTAATGTAACTAGTGTAGCGTAATGTAATGCAACTAGTGTAGTCCAATTTGGTGTAGTGTAGTGTAGTGTAATTGAGTGTAGTGTGTGTGTATAGTAGAGTGTGTAGTAATGTAGTGTAGTTGAAGCTATAGCTGCAGTTGTAGTTGCAAGTGTAGTTAGTGTAGTGTAGTGTAGGGCAGTGTAGTGTAGTGTAATGTAGATTTAGTTGTAGTTGTAGTTGGAGCGGGGTGGAGTGGAGTGTAGTGTAGTGGTGCTTGTAGTTGATACTGCTACAAATACCTCACGTTTTGCTTACATCTGACAACATCCAGAATTCCTTGCGCCTGCCGCGCAAAACCACATCTGAACTTTCAAAAGTGGTCCGAACATGTAGTAATGTTTTGAACATTTTGACTTGGAAATGTGCTTCGTGCCAAAACTGCGTGCACTTTTTCAACATCTCAACTTCCAAAAGTGCCCGAGACCTTCAGTTTTTAACGCTTTTGACTTCGAAATGTGCTTCGCGCCACAACGGCGTGCACTTTTTCGACATCTCAACTTCAAAAAGTGCTCTGAATGCGCGGTGCTCTCTATATTTTGACTTCGAGATGTGCTTCGCGCCGCTGCCACGTGCACTTTTTCGACATCTCAGCTTCTAAAAAATGTTCCAAAGCTGCGGCTGAGCTGAGCATTTTGACTTTGAAATGTCTTTGGCGCCAGAACGACGTTTGCTTTTTTCGACATCCAACTTCTAAAAGTGCTCTGAAGCTGAAGTGCTTTTTGTACATTTTCGACTTCAAAATTTGCTTTGCGCCACTACAGCATGCAGTTTTTTATCTCTCATCTGGCCAGATGGCTCCGCACCCGCCGCTTTAGCGAGCCTACTTTTCGACCCTCCGGAGCCACAAATCATTGGGAAAAACACTGTTTCGCGACTTCCCCACATTTTCGCGCGCCTGCATCTTCTTTCTTCTGACTTTCTCTTCTCTGATCTTCTCTCTTCTTCTCTTCTCTTCTCTGACCCTTCCCACCTCTGCTTTTCCTTTGTCCATATTGTCGGAAATTTGATATTTAAACTTCCTTCGACGAGGTTGGCCATGAAATGAGAGCTTGCCTTATGGTATGCAAACCCCAAGTACCACAAACTGGCTGAACATATCTTGAAAAATGGGTTGGGTGTGTCTGAAACTTGTAATTACTAATCAAAATGCCCTCCAAGGCGCCCAGCGGGCCGTGAGATCAGTGTGACCGGAAAGGGAATGCACTGAGGATGAATTCACGGTTTATTTTTTGTTGGAAAATTTTGGAGTGACTTGAGAATCTACACGAAGCAATCCCAGACCTTGTGAATCAATCGTTCTTGGCTCGTGCAGCTTGAATTCAGGCGCTGCCCTTTTGATGTATCAACCATCAACTTTTTGAGGCATGTTCAGAATAAGCCGAAGTGTGTATATCTTATTCCCCATCCTATCTTGTTGATGGGTTCAACCTCTGTCATGTCATGGCTGGTCAACGTCATTGTATTTAAATAAATAATAGAAAATAAATGTATATATATATATATATGTTTTAATTGTATACAATAAACATGTATTGGTGGAAACTGCTCGTGAGCGACACAAACAAACAACCTCACGATCTAGCTCTTCAATTCTCTCACAATGCGAACGTGCTGACATCTGAACCATCATTCTGCGCTGAAACATTCCAAAATGAAGCATTTGACAAGGCATGGGTGCACCCTACATGACGTATAATTTTGTGCACATCGCAGTTGGATCGCGACGAATGCTTACTTTGGGAATTTTGGATTCCCAACCACCTTGTCGGGTGGTTTTGGCAGCTTAAACCTTGTCAAAGAAAGTTGGGAAGAAATCTTCCGAGTTACGGATAGTTAGATTTGTGGGATTTTACATCTGATGAAAGGTGGTGTGTGCTTTTACATCACATAACAATAGATCACATTGAAGGGTGGTGTGAGACTTTAAATCACATAACAACACATTACATAACAATAAATCACATTGAATGTTGGTGTGAGACTTTGCATCACATAACAATACATCACTTAAGAGTAGAACAGGTTAAAGGGTGGTGTGAGACTTTACATCACATAACAGTACACCACAAAACAATAGATCACATTGAAGGTTGGTGTGACACTTTACATCACATCACAGTACATCACATAACACTAGACGACAAAACAAAACACCACATAAGAATACATCACAAAACAATATGTCGCATCACACTACACCACCTATACCACATCACACAACAATACATCATATAACATTACATTCACAGAACGCTAAAACACATAACAACACATTACATACCAACACATCACATCACATTACATCACATATATGCCACATCACGCAACAATACATCACATGACAGTACATCAAGGAAAGTGGTGGCTATGACGAAGGGTGGTGACGAAGGGGAGTGGTGACGCAGGAAGTGGTGACGAAGGGAAGTGGTGGCCTAGGGAAAGGGTGACGAAGGTACGTGGTGACCTAGGGAAGTGGTGATGAAGAGAGTGTGGTAACTTTTGGAAGTGGCGGCTAAGGGAAGTGTTGACCTATAGGGAAATGGTGACTTTGGGAAGCGGTGTGGTGACAAAGTTGTGGCTGCATGACTGCGTGCGTGGTGCTGCAAAACGTAGTGTGCTGGCTGCATGAACGTTGCATGGGACTTGTGTCTGTGTTTGGGAGGAAGCCGGAGCATGAAACCCTGCATTTTTCCGTGTAAAGTGGCTGCAGCCGGCGATGACAGGTAGCTCATGTGTGCGGCGGGTGCGGACCGATCATTTTGACGTGTGATTGGTTCTTCCTTGGTGTTCTGCAACATGTGGTTGTTCAGGTGCGTAGTTCCATGCGCGTGTTGAATCGCAGGTTGCACATCTTATCGTAATGGCTGCATGAATGTTGCATGGGCTTTGTTTTGGGGAGAAAGCCGGAGCACGAAACCTTGTGTTTTTCCGTGTAAAGTGGCTGCAGCCGGCGATGACAGGTAGCTCGTGTGTGTGTGTGTGTGGGTGCGGACCGTTCGTTTTGACGTGTGATTGGTTCTCCCTTGGAGTTCTGCAACGTGTGGTTGTTCATGCGCGTAGTTCTATGCGCGTGTTGAATCGCAAGTTGCACATCGCATTGTAACGGCTGCGTGCATGTTGCATGGGACTTGTGTTGGAGAGGAAGCCCGAGCACGAAACCTTGTGTTTTTCCGTGTAAAGTGGCTGCAGGCGGCGATGACATGCGGCAGGTGCGAACAGTGTGCTTAAAAAAGAGTTTTTTTTGCTTTGGCCCAGAGAGCGGGTTTTGGAGCTGAAATTTCTCACGCGTTTGCTCGTACTTCTCTTCTAGTGTGTTTTGGAATTCAATATCTCGATATGACATTGTAACGGCTGCGTCATGTTTGCTTGGTGCCGCGGCTGCATGAGAAATACTATTGTCTTTTGCAGCTGGACACTGTGGATCGTATTGGAGTGGCTGCATCAAGGCTGCGATGGTGATTTGACAGCATGTTTTATATTTTTGGCACTGGTGATGTTCCCTGAAAAAATGCATCTTTTTTTTTCGCTTTGGCGCCGGGATCCAGTTTTGGAGCTGCAATTTCGATTGCCATTATGT